TGGGTGGGTGGGTGGGTGGGTGCGTGCGGCAACCCTGTTTCTAAGGGTTTTCACGTGACGGTCCTTGTGCAGTTCATCGATAGAGTTACAGCGGGGGGCGCAGGCCCATGGTGGTACCTGTGCCAACGAAGCTATCCACCATGGGGGATGCGGAGACTGATCACCTCCGTGTACCTGCTTGATGAACGTAACATGCATCTACAACCCTCGCTGTGCATTGGTAGTTCAACTATCTTCAAGTATCTGGTATGCTGTCTTTTCTGCTCTGCCGTTATTTCTGGATGGCCTGGGGCTAAGCCGAGAACCCCTTTCAGCTGGCTGCGACAGTAAACTTCCTTTGAATTATCTGGACTGAGCGAACCATTCAGTGCTTGAGGCTTCAGATTGTCATTCCAGTCACTCCAGTCATTGAGTCAGGTTGCACTGTTGCCACAATCCATTAATTACATCACCACTCCGCGGTCCGCACTTGGGTGTCTGTACATTCGATTCAGGCCTGTTGTGGTTTAGAAGGTCCCAGGCAGGGCTACTGTATGCACTTCGTCGGAGACATTCGTGAACAGATGCTGACATCTCATGACTTGCTGTGTGTAGGCACCATGCCTTGGACATCAGATCTGGTCGTCGCATAACCAAAACCTGTCTAACTTTCCGTGTGTGCAATCCTGTGTCGAAGGGCAGTATAAAGACTCGCGGTATCAATCAACGACTGTGCTGAAAGCGCGTGCTGACAAAAAAGTGTCGGTCTATGTCGGTCTGGAGTCATGCCAGTCCGGAATGTTCCTGTCAAAGCTAAGGCAGCTAAGAGCTGGCATCTACGAAATTTCAAAGTGACAGAGAGCCTTCGACGAAACTCCAGCAAGTCATTCAAGCACCTGTGACATGTCCGTCAAGCCTGAATCTCAGATACTGTGACTATACGGCTGTGGTGGCCCTCCGTACCGGGTTTTTTTTGTTGTTTACAGTCTTCGTGGTGCCGTCCTGCTGCTACTTCTGTAAGATGGCGGTTGGCGTCCGTTCCGCTCCGTCTTGTTTATGTGTGCGCTGTTACACCAAAACATATCCGAGAGTCTACCCATTGTGGCTTGAATCTGTGTGTGTGTGTACGCGTCAGACCCTGTTGTCAGGGATCCCAGGGGCTAGTGCAGTGCAAGCAGACGGTGACGCTGATCCAGCTTCAGCGTCTGCACAAGTTATCCCCCCGTTGCTGTGGTGGCCCCAGGCCGTGGCCGCGCAAGCACTAAGTCTTAAGGGACAAATTCAACGAGATAAGCCCGAGGGTGTCGCTCCTTTGCTGGCGCCTGGAAGCTCCCCGGGGGAGGCCTGACAAGAGACAGAAGTGCTGCACTTCTGTTATGAATTCACTGAGGCGCCCAGCCACCATGCATGGTGTGGATGGCTCGAGAAAGGGGTTGCAAACGCCCTGCCCCCCATGCCCCAGTGCGGTGGGGAAGCTGCCAGCACAGGGGGCGCTGTGATCTGGTGCACTGCAGGGTGCGGCATTGGATAAGGAGCCAGGCTCCCAGGGTGGGGGTTTTGGGCTGCGGGGCCATTATGGCCACCGACATGATTTGAGCAAGCGCTAGGACAAATAGGCGCTGGAGCTGGCAACGGTACAGATTCCAGGCGTGCCGTCGCTGTCTCCACCTGCAGTATGACACGAAGTCCACTCCCATCTGGCATCAAAGATTCGACGTTGTCTTTCGCCTCTTGGCTGTCATCTATATAACCTGGACACCACAACGGCTCAAGGCGATAAACAAACGCCGTGGTGCCACGTGGCGCCTGATGGCTCCGCCGTGAAGACTCGGTGATCGACCTGACTGCTAGGACCTAGGACCCTGCACTGCACCGAGATCTTCTTCAGCTATGCGGCATTATGCAGCTATATGCAGCGATTCAGGCTGCTGAAAAACATGTTGGCCCGCAGCCAAAAGTAGACACATGAGCACTCGTAAACGAGGAGCATAATCTCGAAACCTGCATACCAAACAAAACCTTTCGCCGGCCACATTGCAGGAAGGAGTTGCACTATCCTGTTGAACGAATGGGGGTGCAGAATTGAAGGGCAGCAGTCTTACTGTTTCCTTTTGGGGCTATTGTTATTTTTTGTCTAGCCAGATGCTTTGTTTTCGAAGGTTGTGCCGGCGGACATTTGCACAGCCCATGGTTTAGTTGGTTTACAGTGTGTGTTTGGGCGGGCTTGGGCCTGGTAGAAGCATGCTGGCGAATGGCGTCAGCGCCGTTAAGGGCGCAGTACTTCCCCCCTCTTTCCCAGCACCCCGGCCAAAAGCCCATGAATAGCAGACGATGAGAAAACATTTCTCGTTGATCATTAGGAATGCCAGCGGAGAACCCTCTAAATCCATGAGCTAGGGCTACCCGATTAGTACTGCACATCCCATCTGCTTTTGAAGTGAGGTCGAAGCAAGCTCGCACACCTGCCGGCCGACAGCATGCGGCAGCTCCTGAGGCATGCACGGGGAGTAAGGAGAACAAGTGCGAAGGAGAAGAAGGAGACGAAGAGCGAGCAACGGATGAACGGAGGAAAGTGCAAGGAAGGGCAAGAAACACATCATATCGAAAAGGGAGGCATCACTTCTTCGCCCTCGCCCCTCGCCTGGCCATCTCTGGAGACTTTGACCTGAGATCAACATAGAGAAATCGGCACATGACTCCGTATCCCAAGCATGGCGGCGCATTGACAGCACATCGTCCCTTCGAGCGAATTATTTCGAGTAAGCTGGCAAAAGTTGTCAAATTGGAGCCCTGCAGAGCGGTTCTCGTTCCAAGGGTTGACGATGTCCGAAACCTTTCCAGACCATTGGACATCATCGGACCATCCTAGAGACCAAGCCGACCCAGGAAAGGTTTGGCCTCGGAGAAATCCAGGTCGTCCAAGCGTAGCCATCGCACCTGACATGCGGACAATGACGCACGGCTGGCTGAAAATCGGCCCGAGAGGACAACAACGTTGACGAGGACGGCGGACAACGGAGAGGCGTGGCCATTGCTTGAGAGGTGGGGGCTCAAGTCTTGTCGCTCCACGACCAGAAACTCACCGAGCACAATAGGAAACACTGTCAAACACAACTGTCCACCAACCTCCCTGTCCAGGTCTCGCCTTGTCTCGCCTCCTAAACCAAACGGGGTTTGGGATGGGCCGCCCTCAAACGTGGGTTCAAACGCTCACACTCGGACACTCCAGGCGAGGCATGTGGTTCGAGGTCTGACTGAAGTGAAAGTGTGCAAAACAATCACAATAATCACACATATCCCTGTAACCTCCGCCGCACACAAGTTCCAGATCCACCATTTTCGGAGTCTGAGGAAGAAGAGGGGCCCCATGATCATTGCTGTGGCCCTAAACCATGGAAACGAGAAACCGTCTAGAATGTGTCGCTGCCATTCGTTGCCCACCCAAAAACAGGAAACGGAAACTATGTTGGGATGGGCTCAGGGTGAAGGAGGTCGAGCAGCATTAAATTCACAGAGGTGCAACAAGACTCGTCGCAGCAGCCAGACTGGAAGAAGTTGTCGCAAGACACTATTAGGAGAAACTCGAGGCCTTAACATTCGTGCAAGCAAAGTTATGGTGTAGTCCGGGTAGCAAGAGCAGCCGGGACCACAAATGTAAAGCGAGTGCCAAGACTACCACGCAAAATCATCCTTCTCTCTCTCTGCGGAGGGTCTAGCCGCACTCAGGCCCGTCCTGAAACAGTCAGCCGACCTCAAAATCATCCCTATCGTTTTTCGGCTCCCGCATGGCAGTATCCGAAGACTCTGCGCGGCAGAAGTTTTCCTTATTGCTTTAGACCCATGAAGAGGCAGTGGCTTTAATCAGAAATGTCAATCTGTAAAATATGCCTTGCCCTGACTTGGAGGGGGGAGGGACACGAAAGGCGGACGCAGGCGGGAGGGAGGGTGGGTGGATGTTTCGGTTTGCGTAAGACGTAAGGCGGCCAGGTGCACAGAAGGAACACAAGAGCCAGGTGCGCGTGGGGAAGAGCCAAGCATGAGCATAATTAGACGGAAATCGACGAGCACAATCAGAACACCATTCGCATAACGCCCGAAATCATAGCATGAGAAACATACCGACAGGGCAGGGGGGGACATGGGAGGACCTGGGGAGCACGAACATTCAGGGCCCACGGAAAAAAAAAACACAGCACAAAACTAAATGCCCGGCCCTCGCTCAAAGGCTTCCAGAACTGAAAGGCTTGCCTCAAAGCTGCGCCCGAAACCTTCGAAGACATCAGTACTCACGTGGCCTACCTGAGAGAACGGAACAAGAGCGAGGCAAAGAAACAAGGCAGCAATTCTCAGCTCGCGGAGCGGCGGGGCCCAGCATCTTGGCGTAGCCCTGCAACAGGTCAACACGGAACACAAATCTCTGGCAATCTCTCGCTTCCTCAAGTCTGCAACATATCGCGCTAAAGACAACCGCCTGGAAGCAGCCGGAGCCTTCGCCAAGTGAATTTGTGGCATTCAGAACATACAAGAACAGGCTCCCGCCACAATTCCTGCATATTATATATACATATGTGTGTGTGTGTATGTGTATATCTTGTATACATAGAGGCATGCATTAGACTTGGAGTGGTACCAAGCCACATTCACCTCTCCGCCAATTTACTCTGTATTTCGTTAGTTCAGCCAAACTGTTCCCGTTGGGGCGCGCGCCGTTGACGGAGAAGAGGAGTATGACGTGCGGCGCAGTGCGGAACGCCTCGTTCAGCTTCTCCTGGTTCTGCCGCGACGGGGTAGCCCAAACCTGGCCGCGCAGGAAAGCCGTCAAGATTAAGGCTTGAGGAGAAGGAACCATGTCAAGTCGTCTCAAACCGGAGTGGAAAGTGGAAAGTAGCGATGTCTTGGAAACGAAGGCAACTCTCTGCTCAGCCTGCCTTGTGTTCAATTGACAGAACCTTACAGGCAATCAAATTCTCGGTTTCGCTTCTTTAGAGCGCGGCCCGCACGAGGTTTTTGTGGCTGCTGCTCTTGATTACAAAGTACCTAGCACAGGGCATCAGGCCTGTATTTCTTCGACATCATTGCCCACTTTCCCCAACCATCCTGGTCGCGGGGTTGCCGTGGATCTTCGAGGGCGGCCGGGAGCCTGCAAATGGGCGCAAAGAGGCAAGGGCCCGCAAGGCAAAGGCTTGACAAAGGCGGAGGCCTGACCTGCGAAGGCTTTTTTGCTTGACGGCAAGGCAGCGGCAGTGGCAGCCGCAGCCCCCTTGGAGGGACCGTTCCTCTGTGACCCGTCCACGACGACGGGCATGTCATCGTCCCCGTCAGCCCATTCGGCCTCCGCGTCCTCTGCCTGAACAGACAATTAAACCACGACAAGCTATTTTGCCAAGATGCCCTTCTCAGTGACGTGATTTTCCAGCTGAGGAAAAACAAAGGCAATGAAAAACGGCAGTACCAGATTCGGATTTGGTCAGGAGCGGATGCGAGTAGAGCGAGAACCGTCAGTATAGGTATTACGTTTACGAAATACCTATTGACGGTTGCATGAAGCACTTTCGAGCCAATTCAGGACCTGCCGGGCTGTTTCCGTGACCTAACTGGGCAGCAGGACCATATGGCTGGACCACACATGCATGGATGCATGTGGATGCGGCTTCATGGGCACTTTGGAAACCAAGTGCCCTGCATAACCAATCTTTGCCCTGGTCGACTGTCAGCGCTCAGGTCTAGAGTCTAGAGACTTTTCAATATTGAACTCTTGCCTGGGTTTGGATTTGGGAGGCTTTGGGAATTTCCCTTACTTAGTCTAGTCGGCAATGGCTTGGCAGCAAGGCCACACTGGCGGTGTCCATCAACGGTCAATCAAGTGACGCGAAAGTCGTGTTTGTTAAGTGCTGGGATGATATGTGGAGAGGCAAGGAAGAGTCCGACAGAGATCACCCCATCCGCTCGCGGGCAGCAGTTCTGTGTAACCGGGGTTCATTTGTTTTCACGTGGAGATCACAAGGGCTGCACCCTTGACCGTCTGTTTCTCGCGCTACGAAGGAGATCGGGCGAAGACCGTATCGTGGAGGCTCAAGAAACCGTAACTACCGAGGTAAATTCAAGCGGCAGTGCTCCATGACACATGTTCGGTTCCGTTTTGATTTGCACATGCTTCTGCTCGAACACGACTCTCGCAGTACAGCTCAGCATCAGGCAGCGAAGCTCAGGTCCTTGCTCAGTGATCGAGCATGTTCAGGCGACTCACTCCACAACGAATTCATCAGCCACCGGAAAGCACCATCAAATGAACGACAGAGTCTTAACTTAGGCAGCCACCATGCGCGCAGCAGGGCTCCTCCGGCTATGCGAACCGGAGGACCATGCGAGGGGTCCCCCGGCATCATAGCTGAGAGCGATGCGTCAGCTACACTGTGCTCCACGCTTTGAAAGACCAGTCTGTGGAGAGAAAGGCGGAGAGAAAATTGTGAACGCAACTCATGCCATTCAAGTGACATTGCCGCATCCGGTCAAACAAGCTGAGTCTGTTTCTCACACCAGAACCAACATAGTCTCGTCAGAAGCATTGGCTTTGAACCGAACTGCTTCATGGCTAAGTTGGGCACATGCGTGCTTCTGGCCACTGTGAAACGGAACTTTGCACAACGTGAAACGATAAACTCTGCTAGTAAACAAGCTTAGCAAGAAAGCCACTCACTATGCCACAGTGGGATGGAGGGCTCTAGCCAGCACCATCACCAGGGACGTCCCCTGAATTTGAAGAAGCAGTGCTGGAGCGAGCTATTGCAGCTGATGGGGTCAACACTCCTGAATGGGTCACGTGTTTCACGTTACGTCGCGAATTCTTCTTGCGAATTCTGCAGTCGGCCTGCGAGATCGTCGGCGAGCTGTCGTCCGCCTGATTGCGTTCTGTGTCCTCGTCTCCTTCGGAGAAGAACATGTTGGAACCAGCGGCTTCCCCACCGTGTTTTACGAAAAGCTTTTGGAGGAGCTCGTCGATTCCGTTCTGAACGGTGGCGCTCGGTCTGGTAGTCATTTTGTGCGTCAGTGATCGGATGTGCGTCATAGGTCGAGCGGACACTGCTTCCTCGTCCTCAGCATCTTCGCCTTCTTGTTCCTGATCGTCGTGGTCCGCTGCAACCTGCAGGGCAACATGACGTGCTCTGATGGATGAGATTTTCATGTCGTGATGCGACTCTGAGAGGAGTTCCTGCCTCTGATTGGCTTTCAAAGAAAGCGTGCTCGAGCGCAAGATCCGCTCTCGGCCGGGCTGAAGGGTCTCGTGACAAGGTCGACTGAATGAAACTTAGCAACAAATCCGAACATGGCGCTCCATCGGAAACTCTCTCAGTTCCAATATGCAAAGGAGGTGAATCCTTGATGATTGCCTCTTTCATTGACGCGGAGGTTTGCTCCACTGGTGTGTACGGAAACCGGCCGTATGTCAGGAGAAAAGCAACTGCACCCAGCGACCAAATATCAACCAGGTAGTCATAGCCGACATTGGTCAACATCTCCGGAGCCATGTACGGAGCCGTGCCGTACACTCCGAAGAGCTTTCCCACCTGCGGCATTGCTGCTGCAAGGCCAAAATCGCACAACTTCAAAGTACGATGCTCCGGTCCACCCCACAAGAAGTTGTCAGGCTTAACATCTCGATGGACAATTTCTGCTCTGTGGGTGTGCAAAACTCCTTTGATCATCTGCTTGAATATGTCAGATAAATCTGGCTCTGTCAGTCCATCAACTGTCATGTCCAACATGGAGCGCTTGCATCTTTCGCAAACCATGTAGTACAGGGAGTTGTCGGAAAAAGCCCGATGAAGCAATACAACATGTTCGCACTCAGCAGCGCAAACACGCTTCCAAAACACAACCTCGTCTCTGGTTGCCTTGTTGCGTGTCCGGCTTATTTGGCCAGTACAAACCCCCGTCTTGTCGTCGTAGTGCCGAACATCTACAATCTTCACAGCCAATTCCTTGCCATTCAGCTTGTCTTTTGCTAATCGGACTTGTCCAAAAGTTCCCTGCCCCAGCTTCTTGCCGAGCTTGTAGCTATCGTAGAAGTTGAACTCCACAATATCTTGATTTGCTGTCTTGCCTCAATGCAGTGCTAGTTTTGGCAGAAACGGCTTGACGGCTTGCTTCGTCTCCCAGCAACTTGCTACATAAGGCTACATTTCTGTCAGCTAGGCAAGGTTGGTTTTGCAAAAGGCCTTCCTGGAAGTTGCAACCCCCCGTCTATTAGAAACTGTCTCTCACATCTTGCCGAAGAGAGGCATGCACCGCATCCCATAGCCACCCGGACGGCAATGCTACACACTATTTCTTTCCTATCCTGAGCCTTCGAATGACAAGCACCGGCAGGACTCAGACGTGAGCTTCTTCAACAACGGGGCACTGATGAGCATGCTCAGAACCCAAGGCTGCTGCTGACGACCTGGACCTAACTACGTGCGTCGGAGACGCCGAGTCAACTCGGAAATGACGGCTTCGTGTGAGCCGCTGACCATCTTTTGCGTTGAACTCAATTAGGTTCGAACTTCTGCTTCGCCGGGAAAGCACTTATGGCTTTGCTGTATTTCGTGATTTGCGGATCTATGTGGTCCACACTGACATGATACCCGAGGGCCCGTAAGAAGGCAATTCTAGCATCATCTATAGCTGTGTGACCCTTTCGGTTCACAGCACCTTCCATGAGCCAAGGCAGTCTCTCCCAAGAATGACATGGGTGCCCCGGATTGGGATGGCCAATCTTTGGGTTCGTGACATAGCAACAGGGCACCAGAACCATGGGTCGCAAACTCCCGGAGCACGCAGCAGCCATCGCCTCATCCGTCAGCAAGCCGCACGCGTGACATGCCACAACCATGCAGTCGGAAGGCAAAGAAATGGGTTCGGCAGAGTTATCCACAGGTCTCCGTCGCATATCACAAACGTTCCATTCAAATCTTTCTCTGAGTAGTGGCCACTGCTTAACGGCACCTTCTGCAAGCATCCGGGATAAGACCGATTGCTTGCGATCCATTGCGATGACTCTGGCACGCGGCCACATGAGGGCCAAGAAAACGCCCAGCAATCCACAGCCAGCACAAAGATCTACCACCGTACCAGCTGCATATGATTCTTGTCGGGCCTGCCTCTGTACAAGGCATGCCACCTCGAATGCTTCAAAGAGCTCTTTCCGCTTTAGTTTGTTGGGAAGTGCACGACCGATAGCTGCACCAACTTCATAAAGTAAAGAAGCCTCGTCACCTTACAAGCTGTTTTTTGCACGGAACGCAAGATGTAGCAACATGGTGCAACGTCACTATTCCTACAACGGAAGACTGCAAGGCATGAAGCAATGGTGCATATTGAACCGATTGCCTTCCTGTGCTGCTCGCTCGAAGCTCTCGATGTCCCCAGATGAGATTCGATTCCTCGAAGTCTTGCTCCATTGCGATACTGGCAATGTGTGCCGTCCCAGCACTGCCGCCACATCTGCTGGAAACAGAAGTATGAGTATACCAAACCACAGCGGCCACATGATTGCACAGCGGTTCTAGACCATGAAAGTACTGCCACATGTCCGTCTCAGCAAGATTGGTCTCCTCTATGTGAGTTCTTTGTCACATGTTCAACGTCTGTTGCGAGTGCTTGTCACCATCTGCTCGGCAAAGTTCCCCAACATCTTCCTAAGCCCTACAGGCTTGCGGGTTGGCGAGTTGCACTGAGTCTGAAAAAGCGGATCTGACAACACAATCGGTGCACTTGTGGAGACTTTCTGCTTGAATCGCATCTGTGGGGTCGCGTGCGCTGGCCCACAAGCTCAAAACCTGAAGCACCAAGCTGAGCGGATTGTCCCTGGAGACGGATGTTGATTGACTCTTTGCCTCTGCTTGCCTGCACCTTTCTCTCTCGCGTTCCCTCCCAAGCCAAGGACGATCGTGTATGCCAGCGTGAGTGCAGCGAAGCAAGCGACTTGATACCTGCACAAGTTTGCTGCAGTGACCTGGACCGGCTTAGCTCATCGAACTGGCACCTCACCGGGGCCAGTCCATAAATCAATGCAACCTCGCACAGCACTTCAAGCACGATTGAGTCTTAAGAACTGCACATCTCAGGGCATGTCGAAGGGCAACGTGATACCGTAGTTTCCCTTCAGAAGACTCCAAAAATCGCGGCGGACCTGCAGAACGGTTGATCTATGGAGCTGAACTTTCAATGCTCGTCCTGCCAATCTGCAAATGCCACAGCAGCATGCTTTTGCGAACACTCGCTGCGGTGGACGGGGCAAACACAAAGGATGCGTGATGCATAACCAACAGCAGTTGTCGGAGCTGCCAGGTGCCCGCAGCCCTGTCCACCACAGAATAGAAGAAGTACCAGGATAGAACTATCCAGGGGCAAACTTATACACCTGAACAAGTCAGAAAGGCCTTTTGCAGAGTCCGATCGAAGAGTCAGCTGGAACGGAAGGTGAGTGAGGCCAGCGTGGCCAATGCAGCCATCTACCGATGTTGCCAGCATTGTTACAACCTCTGTCCATCCGCACCTTCCATGCCTCCTGGTTCCCTTGAGCGATCCTTGGTAGCTTGAAGCAAAGCCTCGCAGGCACGCATGAGCATGCCGACTGCAGCCTTGTTGGCTTCGACCTGCGGCAAGTGACCAAGACCAGTTTGAGTCGATGATTCTTCGGGCCGTTCCTTCCGCTCGCAACCGATTGGGATGTTGAGCGCCAGATGTGCCAGCGCTGCATCCCACGTTCATTTGGGAAGACCTCTCTCTCTCTCTCTCGCGGACTCAGAGGTCTATCAGCCGCGCAGATTTGGGAAGACCTGCCTATATATGATCCCGGTTCTCGGTT